AACAAAGTAGTTTCGCTTTCACAACGAAGCACACAGCGTCTTCACGACATGGCGACAGCGGCAACAGTAATACTACAGCGAGAATAAAAGTTACGTCTTCTTTCTTTGCGTGAACATTTGGGCGGTGTTATGCAAATCTTCCCACATCGTGATGTAGACATGTGGGGGCGTGTTAGAACGGGCCGTTTTAGGTAGGTGTGGCTGACTCTTAACTTTTATAAAGAATATCTCTTTGGATTTGAGACTTTAGTCTTTGCAACTTTACAGATCTTCTTTATGCACCAAGAGCTTGTAACACTTCAAAGAGAAAGGAAAAATTTAAATCGCATCATATGACCCCTTTAACTAACATTAACAAAGATTAATAAACACTGTAATAAATGTATTGTTCATTGTTTGTTAATGTTAGTTAATACATTAACCTAACCCCTAATTAACATAACCCTTATTGTAAAGTGTTACCGATGAATTTATTCATTGTTTGAAGATATTTGATAGGTGAAGGAAGTTATTATGTTACGTTTTCATGGAAAATTGTGAAGACAATTTTTTTTTAAGTAATGTGCAATAAAAAATTTGTTCACACTTAGACAATGAATGTGCATTTAAGTAAAGTAAAAAAAAAACTTAAGTACTAGAATATGCTTAAATACTAGAAAATATTTAAATATATATAAATACTAGAAAATGCTTAAATACCCAAAAACCTTATACTAGATTTGGTAGCTAAATAATACTACAGCCAAATAATAATTTTTTTTTTTTGTTATGTTTACGTTAATTCTTCATAAAAATTCTCATGGAAAATTGCAAAGACAATTTTTTAATAAATTGTTCCCAATAACTGAACGAGTATTTAAAAAGTAAATTTTATTGCATTTACAATGCATTCAAAATGCAAACAATATGTGTTACAGTATTTTTAGGCCACAAACTAACATTATAATTGTTTATAATTATAATTATTTACTTAACAAGCCACAAATCAGGTTGTTTATATTTAAACTAAAATTTCAAATCCATGTTAAATCGATTTCTCGTCAAAAAGTTAATTTTGGGGAAAATTCCTAATGTATAGTAAAAATCAGGAACTATTTGACCAACCTGTCATTGATATCCACTCAGAAAACGTATGTTAGGTTGTTTGTAGTGCTGATTTTCATTTTTGGCTGAATATGCTTTATTTTTGCCCTGCAAGAACCAGATTTACTCTGTTTTCATATGTGAGGGAGTTTGGGAAGGTATAATTGGATTTAGGGAGCTGAGATCAAGTCTAATTAATAAAAAACAGGAGCAACTTTCTCCAGGGGCTCTGCAAGCTGGCACGACCGCTGTGGAAACATAACCGGCCAGGACCTCAGCATCACTTAGCTTGAGCTAATTGCTTTTGCACCATTAAAGACAGGTTAGCAAGGGCTTCTGGGAATTGCAGTTTTCTGGCACGTGTCCAGTCTTGTGTTGGATAGGGAAGAGGGTTTATTAGTCACAGAGACATAAGGAGCATTTGTCAGTGTTGCTGGGCCGCATGAATCGGGTTGCTCAGAGAACCACAAAAGTTGATCATGCTTTCAGGTTGGCAACTAATTAACCTTCAGTCGACTGCAGAGAAGAGGGTGAACATAAGGTTGAAAGGAGGAGAATTTTGGGGCATTTGGACCTGAAATAGTCGCAACATCTGGACCCATTTTATTCAAGCTACAGAAAATAGAGATTTCTGGGTAAAGAGCTCAAACGTGGCCTCAGGCAGCAGATGCACACGAATAAGAGCATTAGTTAAGACTGGTTACATTTGTATTGAGGTTAAAAGCCTAGTTGCACACATGGATGTAATGTATCACAGAAAACCAACATGAAAATGAAATTTTTATGAAATGATTATTTTTTCCTCTCTCAAATACATATTTCTGGTTTCATTGTGAATGATTGAACAGTATTCCAAATAATTGTCTTCATAATCTTTCTACTGTATATATAAATCTAATAATTACTTAAAATAATTATTATTATTTAATAATGAATATTACCTAATGATTAATTACTAATAATTACTTGGCCTCAAAAATTACTTTAATTTTCCACTGTCACCAATCACACTTTCAATGTTAATTTTTACATATTTTTTCCCTTTGATGTCAATATTTCAGTAATTTTATCCATTTTACTCCAAAATGATGTAAAATTTAGTTGATGAAAATACAATTTTAGTTAATAACAAAAATGTGAAAAATGGAAATATCTGGCAAACTAAAAAAAAAATCTAACATTTTGAAAAATGTTAAATCATTTAAACATGTCAAACATGAAAGATTTATCAACATAAAATGTGTTATGAATTATGCTTTAGAGGCTATTATTATTATTATTAATTTTGAATTTAAGAGAATGTTTAGACATTGAATTACACTTAGTATGTTGTTACAGTAACTATTCACAACGCAGTCACACATTCTCACTAATACATAGCTTAGTTCAGTTTCACCTAAGCATTTGATTGCAAATGTAAGTTTTAATATTACTTTTATGTTGTCAGTCAGATTAACACTGTCCACTTTTCACGATCAGTCAATTCCTGACATATAAATTTGAGTGCGTTTTCTATTTTGTTTTGCTTGGAAATACGTCACATTACATGAGGAAAATGGGTTCGAGCCATTTTTATAACCAGTTTTGACCTTTTGAACAATATTTATAGGAATATATATACAGAAACCGTTTATCTTGTGTTTTTGCATATTTGATACAACATTAACAGTTCTGAGATGGCTTTTTATTGGTGTTATTTTTCAGATACGCCATTTGACCTTCGGTTTAGCACAAATTTACGCCGTAACACATGGGTCCCACTTTGACACGGCCTCTTTTCCAGTTTCTCTTTTCAACTCTGCGCCGCCGTATTAGAAGAAAATTGTGTTAATTTTCACTCGAGAGGGAAAAGGTTACGATTCGCAGTGGGCCTCCGCCGAGTGGAAGACGTACACTTGATTATGCAATCTGATTTTGATTTCATTAGGCATGCAATTGATGCGAGGGAACAAAGGGGTAATTTTTCATTCATGGCGGTCTAGCTGAGCCCTGTCTTTTTCTGTAGTCTGTAATTCATACACTTCCCCCTGATCTAAAGACCATTAGGAACTCTGGGGGGTGTGTGGGATTGAGGAGATGGCGGGTGGGGGTGAGGATGAGAAAAAGAAAGAGTGAGGGAGTGAAGGAGCGCAAATGAATGAACGCATGTGTCCGCAAGTAAAAGAGTCTGTCTCGATGAGGCCCGGTCTAATCTTTCTGCTAAGTATTCACCGGAACCGTTTTAAATATGATCATTCTGCAAGCGTGCGTTCAGTTGTGTCACCGCTGACAAATATATAATATCAGAGTGCTAATGGGCCTGCCCATCAGCTTTAATCAATGACATCTGCTCTAGAGGTGCGTGTATAAGAGTGTGAGACAGAGATTCACGCCGCGGTGCTCGTGTTCATTTACATGTAGTACACAGGATGCAGATGTGTTTTCTTTTATGAAGGTGTGCAGCCTGTCCTTGTGAACTAAGATGTACCTTGTGCAGTGGTAGACCGATATATATGCAGGCCTGTACGTTAACTTTTTTTTCACATAGCACTGGTGCTACAGAGGTTGAAAGTTTTGTAGCACAGGCCAAAAAGTTGTAGCACAAGTATAAAACGTCTGTTATCATGTCTGAAAACAAACACAAGTAATGGAGTTCATCACTTAAACAGGCACTGATGTTCCATACAGAGCACAAAAAATACAAAAAATTGTTTTTAGACAAAGTTTTCTTAATTTGCTAAAAATGGAAGAGTGCAGAAACATAACACCTCTTACACCTTAACAAAATATAAAATAAAAAACAATGGCAGACATTTAGGGAAAGTGAGCAAAGATAAAAATATTTGTCATTATTTTATCTTTGTTATTACAAAATAAGAACAAAGATATACATTACAAATACACATAATATACAAATAAAACAAACAGTGCTTCATTTTTCAGGTACAGTATTTAGCAGTAACATTCAAGAAATTGAATGAACAAATATTAAAATAAAACACTATATACATCAATTATACTTTTTTAAAAGCAACTGACTGATAAGTTCATCAGTCAAGAGCAGTGAGTGATTTTTTTTCTGTGTTTTGTTGTTTAATTTAACATTAAAAGAATAGTTCACCAAAAATGAAAATTCTGTCATCTGTCTTTCAGTAGTGTTTCATTTTTATAAGATCATTTACTCAAGTTGTTTTAAACCTGAATTAATTTATTTCGTCTGTTGAACATAAAAGTTATTTTTGAAGAATGTGGGTA